CTATGGCGGAGATCTCCCAGATCTTTTTTTACCCAAATGTAAAGAAAAGAACGAACGACATATTAATGAAAAAAAAACTGCACATCGATAAATTAGTTTTTGAAAAAATATCGCATCTTTTTTTATTACTTTAAATCGATTGACATCTAATATTACACAATATAAAAAAGATCGACATTTGATTTTATCACCTCGTGTTCACGTGAGCTAACATGCTACGCGTAATGTGGTTAAAAAAATTTTATCAATTCGTGGATCAACAGCGTTTATATAATACGACACAATTTTAACGCGTCGTGTTTTGGACTCTAGCTCTAGTAAAGCAAACTTCTTGTTTCTTATTATCATAAAGGCTTGATATATTATAACAAATATTTCAGTTTGAAAGTAAATTTAACTTTCGGGTGAGAATTTTTAAAATAAAGTCTTTTAATATAAACGACAGATAGTTTTATAAAAAAAAAATTTCTGAGCACGGTAATAAGAATAATATATTTTTTTTTTTTTGAAAGATTGATTCCGCAATGTCTTATTCTTCATACTTTCAAGATCAAGGAAATTTAACAATGATTGATAAAGCTTCAAATGACGCTAATCCTTCATTGGATGAAACTTCCTCATCTTATTCCAAATCAGACCTTGCTATATTTAAAGCATCAGAAAGATCTTTGATGACCAGAAAGACTCAACGTAATACAAAAGTATTTCGTTCCGCTTTTCAAAAATTTCCTGCTACCACACCGTCCATTCAGAAAAACACACCTATTCCTTCTGTTCAGAATAATAATAATTTTACACCATCTTTTCAGAAGAGCACTCCTATTCCTTCTGTTCAGAATACTTCTTCTTTTCAGAATAAATCGTTAACATCTAATCAGAAAAACACTTTTCAGAATAATACTTCATCATTTAATAATAACCAGAAAAACGCAACCACCTCTTCTGTTCAGAGTAATTTACCTTTTCAAAATAATTCTTCATCAGAAAATGGTATGGATAAAAAACAAGAACATTTGAAATCTGAAAACAATTCAGCCGTTGTAAGTATGCAAAAAAGAAAAGGTGCTACTTATACGTTTGATGGCGAATGGTCGGATGATGATGTTTGGCAACCTAATTCGAAAAAAAGATATTTGGAATCTGTGGTAAAAAATCGAGATCGAGGCGTTCTAAGTGAAGTGAATAATAACAAAGAAACGTCAAGCAATCACGAACTTTCCGAGGAACAACAACGTATCTTTGATTTAGTGGTATTGAAAAGAGAAAATATTTTCTTTACAGGATCTGCCGGAACCGGAAAAAGTTTTCTACTCCAAAGGATAATTTCATCACTAAAAGCCCGTTATGGAAGCGAATCAGTGGCGGTCACTGCAACTACCGGAATTGCCGCGGTGAACATAAGTGGAACTACGCTTCATTCTTTTGCAGGAGTGGGCCTTGGGCGTGGCTTTGCTTCAGAACTCGTTAAACAAGTTCAAAAATCAGTCGCAGCACGCACTAGATGGAAATCTATTGATACTTTGGTTATTGATGAAATATCAATGTTGGACGCACAATTATTTGATAAATTGGAGTTTATAGCCAGGACGATTCGAAGTAATAATCGTCCTTTTGGTGGGTTACAACTGGTAGTTACCGGGGATTTCTTTCAACTTCCACCGGTTTCAAAAGACAGGAGTAGTAAATTTTGTTTTGATGCTGAAAGATGGAAGGTTTGCATTAAACATACTATCCAACTAACTAAAATATACAGACAAAAGGATTCAGAACTAATTGAATTACTTAATGAGATGCGTATTGGTGAAATGTCCGACAAGTCCTTGGTGCTTCTTAAACAATTGGAAAATGAACCCAATTATCCCGATGACGGAATAAGACCGACAGAACTATATCCGATTAATGATATGGTGAATAGGGCCAATGCTACGGAACTAGGCAAAATCTCTCATAAATTATACACTTATACTTCCGTTGACTGGGAACCACTCAGATTTGGACAGCTTCAGACTCTTTGCAAGAGTTGTCTTGCGCCAGAAAAGTTGGAACTCAAACGCAATGCGCAAGTGATGCTCATCAAAAATTTATCCAAGGATCTCGTCAATGGAAGTCGAGGTGTCGTGGTGGGATTCTATAATCAAGCAGATGGAACAAGTTATTACAATGGAGAAGATGAAGCGATGGCGGATGTAAAATTACTTCCCATTGTAAGGTTTACACATTTATGTGAAATGGTTATACAAGAAGCCGAATGGAAGTTGACAAGTCCTGGTGATGTCGTCCTAGCTAGTCGTAAACAAATTCCTCTTGTCCTTTCATGGGCGATTAGCATTCATAAAAGTCAGGGGCAAACGTTAGATAGGGTAAAAGTTGATCTTAGTAAGGTTTTTGAAAAGGGACAAGCATATGTAGCTCTTTCTCGCGCGACTTCAGCCAATTCACTTCAAGTTACTGGATTTAGAAGGGATAAAGTAATGTATCATGAAAGGGTAAAGAAGTTTTATCAATCTTTAACTACAATTTGAATGAAATACATAAAAGTACATATGTAAGATCAAAAATGGGATGTATGGGTTTTGCTGGAGATAAATGTGAATCATGCTATAAAGAAATATTAGGAAAAAAAAAATTGATTGTCTAATACTGATGATGAACTTGCAGTTTTTTTTTATTTTTATCTTTATTTTTATTTTTTTAATAATTCAAATAAGAAATAATAAGAATAATAGGAAATTAAAATTGAAGCAAGCACATTATCAATGAAATTTTCTTCTATGAATATAAAATATTTTATTCAAGAATATAAGTATTATTCTCGAACCGTTTTTAATTTTAATTTATATAAACCAAAAATGATTAATCACGTGAATGTTGCCTATTCATATTAACTTTAACTGATATTTGATAAGATAACAAAAAATATATATTTGAATTTCTACCATTTGATAATTTTTTAAGTCATTTTTTCAATCTCAAAAATGCCAGAAATAACTATTACCGTTAAAAGTTCTAACGATCAAAAGTATAACGTAAAGATAGACACTTCTAAAACGGTCCTAGAATTCAAACAGGCCATTGCTGAAAAATGTGATACTGCAGCAGATAGACAAAGGTTGATATACTCTGGTAAAGTTTTAAAAGACGTTGATACACTTGAAACTTATAAAATCGCTGACGGTCACACTGTTCATATGGTGAGGGGATCTACACCAGCCGGTACGTTGTTTTTATCAATTTAAAAATTTAAAGAAATTGTGTTTGATATATTCTGGTAAAGACTGATACATTTGAAACATAAAAATTTCAGCCGCTGACGGATCTACAACCGGTAAGTTTTTTTCTTTTATTAATTTACAAATTAAGGGAGTAATGTTTGGGTAGGGAAATTTCGGTCTTTTTTTTTAGTGTTGATTATTATCATTTTATTTACTTAATGAATTAAATACATATTTATCGTTTTGAGAATCGCACTTGGTTATAGATCTTTCATTAATTAATTTCCCATTTTGGTATTTCTAATTAAAAAGTAAAAGGCTCATCATCACAATCATCTCAACGAGACCCAACTACGCAGACTCCTCAAGCCAATCCAACCCCCGTTCCTTCTACAATCAATACACCACCAAATCTATTTGGAGGGTTAGGTGGATTTCCTAGTAACACACTCGGCGGCGGCGGAAATATAGATACATTACAATCTTTACTTGGCAATCCTGCGACCATGCAGTACATGTCGCAAATGTTGCAAGACCCTAGATTCGTTGATAATGTGATTGCTATGAATCCACAATTTGCATCAATGGCACCACAATTGAGACAAATGATGCAAGACCCAGAATTTCAGGCACTCATGTCAAATCCTGATGCACTTAGGAATATGGCGGCTTTATCTTCATATATGGGGGGAGCTTCAGGACCTTTTACTGGAGGTAGTGGTTTAACCGGATTTGCTGGTTTGGGTGGATTAGGAAGTCAACCTACTGGCACTAATCCCGCAACGACTACACAACCTTCTACAACAGACACGACCAATCGAACAACAACAACTACAACAGGAGGTACAACACCTAGTAACACAGCTCCTAATACATCAACACCTGCACTTAATCCTTTTAGCCTCCTTAACCCTTCATTTGCCGCAGGTAACCCAAATTCTACACAACCTTCAATGCCTGCTGGATTTGATCCATCATTTTTGTGGGGCTTTAACCCTCCATCTACGCCACAACAACCTCCGGAAGAAAGGTTTCAGACGCAACTTCAACAATTGAATGAAATGGGATTTTGGGATGCACAGAAAAATATCAGGGCATTGCTGGCTTGTGGTGGAAATGTCAACGCAGCAATTGAAATGTTATTGTCTGGCACCATTTAACTGAGTAAGGTGGTTTTTTCTTTTTTGTTTTTTTTTTTAAAAAAAAATCGGCTCGTTTATTTTTTTATTCTTTCTTTTTCTTTTGTAATTGTAGTTGATGACTTTGACATTTTTCTCAATATTCGAAATTAAAGGTTCTTTAATGCAATTATTATTATAATTTTTTTCTTCATTTGTATCAAATTCTAATTTTTTTTTTATTTTTCCTTAAAAAAAAATTATCATTAATATTATTTAGCATCTTTTTTTTTTTTGCTCTCTGAATTTCAAATACCTTTATTAAATAAAATAATTTTAAATGAATCTTTTTTATAATACGCAAGGTGATAAATCACGTGATTACGGAAGGATGGTTTAATTTATTTGTCCTAATTGGGATACCTTAATTGTCATGATCTTCGAAAGATCGGCAAATACAAATTTTACACATTAACGCTTTTAGTAAATAATGCAATTGGAGAGGCTCGTGTAAATAAAATAATGATATAAATAACTTGCCCTGAAAAGGAGGAGGTTTTTTCATGAAAAAAAAAAAATTTCCTTTCTTTCATCCGCTTCGTTAACGATAAAAAAAAAATAATAATAATAAAAAAAATAAAAAAAAATTTAAAAATTTAAAATAAGATAAAGTATAATAGAATTGTTTTTTTTTTATTTTATTTTATTTTTTTTGTTTTTATTTTATTTTTTTTTTCTTTTTATTTTTTTTTCCTTTTTTCATGATTAAAAAAGGATGTCATTATATTGGTTTGAAACGAGATTTGATAGGAAATTAGCACCATACCCTTCACCAAAGTTAAGTCAAAAATCAAAGACTGATGGACCGACGGGGCAAAAACTTATATCACAATCCGAAATTGTTGACCATATCATTGCGAATAACATTGATACAGGAACTTTAGCAAAGATAGAACGGTATATTTCCATACCACTTAAAACACTTATTACTCCGAGATTGGGAAATCGTCGTAAGACTTGTAATAGTATACCAAGGCCACAAAACAATTTTGTATTGTATAGAAGGAATTTACACGCAATTATCTCCAATGAACAAGGAAGTGCGACGGCAAAAAATTTTAAAGTGGTATCAAATTTGGCAGCGAAGAAATGGGCGGATGAATCGAATGAAATCAAGCAATTATTTGAAATCATCGCCGATTGTGCGAAAAAGGTTCATGATTATACTTACCCCGAATACGTTTATCAACCTAGAATTAGCGGTAAAACCAGTATGAAATTCAGACCCATTATAAATGGGGAACCTTTTGTTGAAGAAAAAAAACCGCAAAGGAAAACGGTTGTTCCATCACTTTTACTTTCAACCTTTGCGGTAGCCAAACCCGGAACAAACAATAAAAAAAAGGAAGATTCAAAGAATAAAAGGCAAGTGATAGATTTAACCTTGCAAGAACGAAAGGCGGAGATGAACTCGAAAGAAAAAAATATGATAGATTTGAGTGTTAAAGAACGACAGATTGAAACGATAGATTCTACTTTGCAAAAACAAATGATAGATTTGAACTTGGCAAAACAAGAAACAGTTGAGAGCTCAAAAGGACAAATGATGGATTCGAGCTCGCTAGAACAAACGATGAACTCAAATGAACGTAATTCAAGTTCTCTAAAACAAATGATAGATTTGAACGTGCCTAAACAAGAGGAAATTGTGAACTCTGGTGTGCAACAGATGAAAATTGATTCAAACTCGCATGAAAACACGACAAATAATCAACAACCAACACAACAACCGGAGCAACAAAGGCGACGACAGGCCCCTTTTGCAAATTTACTTCAGCCTATCGACATTACCATCACTTCTAGTTTTATGCATTCCGCTTATGATAAACAAATAGTGAGTTTGTTTAACGGGTATGCATCATTGTAATAAACCTCGGTTGATTTCGGTTAGTGGGTAATTTTTACGAAAGGGTTGAAATTAGATTTATAATTAGTTAAATCAACTTCCCGTATTATTAATTATCGTTCTTGGATGTTCGTTTTTTTTATATATATAAATATGAATTATGATTATTTTTCTTTTTAGAGCAATTTTATTAAATGGATGATGATAGTAATTTTTTTTCTTCAAAAAAAAAAGTCTCCTTTCGTAAGAAATGTTTATTTTTTTTTTTTCCTTCATGCCGCCATTATTCATGTTAAATAAGGAATACATATTGTTCCATAAAAATAAAATCATCCGAATTTAGTAAAAAAATATGTATGTAGTATCCTGTGCAATGAGATTCGTCACAAATATTGCAATGTTTGAATCACCCATTCAGAATATATTTTGATTGAAGGTATCAGAAGCGAATAAGAGGAGGAGGAAAAAAAGGTTTACCCATCCTACCAAAATATTACTAAAATTATGGTCAGATCATCACCTGACGTTGATTTGATCTGCATTATCGAGAAAAACCTTTGATATCTTCCTTCCTAGGAAAAGATGATCGTGTGATTTAGATTCGGCGGGAATTTATGTCAGGGGGTTACCTAATGAGAAATGTTTTAGGCGAGTTTGTAAATCAGAATGAAAGAAATTAAAAAATAAAATTTGATTTTTGAATTTTGTATTGTATCCATTTTTTTTTTTTGTTTTCAAAGGGAGACGAATGACGAAGCGTGATGGGATGGCAGAATGATTTTAACCGAACAATTCAAAAAATTCCGCCCAACAAAAAAGCGACCAATATCATTCGGCCCGAAAATAGAATATTTGTACAAACGGTTTTTTTTTTGCATTATAATGTCATCATCATTGATGAAAATGATGATTGATGACTGATGTTCTTTTGTCAGATAATACAACTACGATCCTCTTTTTAAGCAATATTAAATGTGGTGAAACGTAAACTTTAATGTTAAGATCCGTAAACTACAATAGTATATTATGAATTCTCTAGAAAAGCACCAAAAATACAAACCAATTTTCTTTCACACGATAAATCTGTGCCAAAGCTCCTTAATTTTTTTTATCCATTGGGAAGTACTAATTTTATCAAACTAAAATTGCGTGAGAATTGAATACCATTACCACATTTTGAAACCTTTTTTATTTCATTCAAAAAAAATGGATAATTATGTAATTTTTACAATATGATAGATATCTTAACAATGAAGAATTGTGTATTTGAAAAAAAAAAAAAAAAAGGTTTTAACATTTGTTGGGAAACAAGGTTTTTTTTTTTTTTTAATTATTATTATTTTGAATGCAAACTAAAAAACCGCCCACAAAACTAGAATGGCAAAATGAATGCCTTACTGAGACCGGTCAAGTGGTAAATTTTTCAAGGTAAGATGTGATATATATTTTGATCCTTTGACTAAAAGTTTGTGACCTTTTCTCGCGTTTTCTTCAAAGATAAATTGATTTCTGTTACACCGTGACACGTAATTTATGCACGATGATTAATTAACGCTTCAATTCTGGCGAGAATGATCATTGCTTATGTTGTGTTTTACACATATGACTCTCACATAAAATTTTTAAATATACTATATTCCAGAACGAAACTTCCAGAGAAGGGTAATCTATATGAAACACAAACAAAAATATTCTCAAACAAATAATTCTTTTTAAATAATGTTACAACATTTATTTTATTATACGTTATCCTTTTTTGGACGGGATTTCAAAATAAGGCTTAGTATTGTCATTCCCCACGCGTTTTAAATAAATTTAGGAGCTCTCTGACCTATTTCGTGTAATTATTTAAAGTTATAAAATTGGATTTTTGGCAAAATCCTGTAGACCCTGGGAAAATAACAGGCTTATCTATGTCTAATAAAAAATAAAAATCACGATACCGTGTTAAAAAGGAATCATCGATCGTTTCTGTATGCGGTGCCATTTTTTTCGACCAAAATGAATTTCTTGGGAAAATTTCTTTTTTATCGCTCCCTATAGATTTTCTCAATCTCCTTTTCTTTGATAACGAAAATAAAAGTTAAAAAAAATAATTTATTATTAATAAATGAATAAAATAAAAGAAATTTCTTTTTTTTGAATACAACTAGTAAAGGCAATTGGGTGACTTACTTTATTAGGGATTTGGAGCGAATAAATGCAAGCCATTTATTTGCAATTACGTTAGAAGTAGTTCGGTTTTAGGCTGTGTAATTCAAAACAATATCGTTATTGTACATACAATATACAATATAATTTAATATAAATAATTCTAAAAGCATTTTTATACAACACTATAATATTTTAATTTAGTAAATCTAAATTATGTTTCATATATAGGAGAAATTTTTTACAAAATCAGATGATGATTCTTTGATTGTGTATCATTTATATGATATGAATTAGTACCACATGATAGAAAGGCGCGTGGAATGGGCAATTATAGATCTTATTAAATAACGTATTTAAATAAATCAAAAATACTTCCTTTTAAATATTAGTGACTTGTTCTTTTTCACTCTAAAAAAACTCACATCTCTGTTGAAAAAAAAAAATCCCCTATTATTATTTATATTGTTAATTTATTATACCATCAACTGTTTGTTGTTGTTGTTTGTAATTCAGCCCTTTTGCCTTGCTTTTTTTTTCTCTTTTGATTTTCTTGAATTCTTCACAAGGTTGGTTTTGTTCTACTTTGGTCTTGGTCATTTCTGATTGGTCAAATAGATAAACCTTTCTTAATAAATAGGAGTGTCGGTCCTTCCTCGATTTCAGTTTGGATTCTCTCCAATCAAATTTGCGCCTTGATTGACTTCTTTGAGGACCAAAGCAATAACGAGCTCACACAGCTAACTTTTGCCCTCCTGTCGTTGTGTGTCGCTTCTCACCTTGTCCTATTTTTCACCCACTCGACTTCCATAAAATATAAACTAAGAAAAATATAAAAAAAAAAATTATTATTTTAAGGCAATAAACTTCCTTCACTTCCTTTTTCTTCTCTATCTTTCTATATATATATATTTTTATTATTTTTTTTTTTTAAAAAAAGAAAAGAAGGCTCCTCGCCAAGTTTCGATAGTTTTCTCAATCTTTGGTGTTCTCCTATCCATATTTGGATTCCAACTTCGTCGGTACTTTTTCAAATTTTTTTTTTCTATTTTCATTTTCTATTGGTTTTCGTTTTAATGGTTTGTTGAAACAACAACGCTTCTTTGTTGAAGGAGCTTCTTTCAAAAGTGTCGGAGTTCATTGTATTTTTATTAGTCACGTTATCTTTCATAATTAAGCACAAAATACGTGTACCCTACTAGTTATTGTATATGTGTATATAATGACGCGTCAGCCACCTTGAGGCTCAGAAACTTTTTATTATTCATAATATATATAAATACTCTTACTAACGAATATTTTTTCTGTTTCATTTGACTTTGCACTCTGCCTTTTTTGCTTTGGCTTCCTTCTTGTGGTCTTCCAATCGTCACGCTATCTCAATACACTATTTGTAACGCGTGTTCAATATAAAAATAGCGCTGGACGGAACACCAAATCAAGTTGACATTTGTAAAAAAGCACTAGTCAAAATCCAAAGAAAATAATAAAGCGTCCCCTCACTCCTTTGGTCGACACTTTCTGTGAGCAGTCAAATAAGTTTGCGGGACTCTGGTTTTATTGAACGTACAGCTGGCTAATTAGAGAAATATAACTTTTTTTTTAAAAGAAAAAATAAAAATAATTAAAAAAAATTTCGACAATTATTATTAGGACACTGGTTTTTTTATTCTCTTTTTTTTGCTTTCTTCCCTACAAAGAACCATTTGATTTCTAGTTTGGTACTTTTTTTTTTTGTTCTTTAAAAAAAAAATTTTTTTACCTCCCTTTAGTTTTGTGTTCAACGTTCTGATTTTTTTTATTTGCTTTAGCGAGCACATAATGTTCTAAAGTCCTTACCGCATTCCCGAATTTATCCTCGCATATTTTCGAGTTGCTCTGTTAAACAGTTCAACAAGAATCCCGAGTGCCACGTCTATTACTTAATAAAGTTATGCAAGCAAAATATCACTCCTTTTGAAAAATCACAAAATTGATTGATATTGGTATCGTGAGAAACAAAAACAACCTTTTATTTTTATTTTTATTTTCAAATCACGATCCCTATCCAAACTTTTTTTTTATTTTTATTTTATTTTCACTGTTTGCATTATATCCCTTACTTTCTGTATCATCTAATCTCTTCTCATCTCTTCTTAGTTAAGAGACAATCCTATTTCATTGTCTTTTAAATTGTAATATAGCCATATCTTATACATAAAATATACATATTTCTTTTATTTTATTATATATATATTTTTTTTACCTTTTTTTTTTTATTTTTTTTTTTAAAAAAAAAACCCCCCACCACATATTTCAAAAATTGCTGACTGTTTGTCAGTATGGCGTTTTAAAAAAAAGGAATCCATCATACAAAAAGATGACCTTACTTTTATTCAACAACACAGATTTCTCATCATCCATCACGTTTACAACGTATTTGGACTCTAGTTTTCCTTTTGATCAGATCGAGTACTATACATCAGCCAAAGAAACAACAACACACACTTCTTGCTATCTACTTCATATCTCTGTTCCACGTCGACGACGCAAGTCTGTCGAGAAAGATTTGGATAAAAAATATCTTTCTTGAGTTTTAATCCTTCTCCCATTCTGTAATTATCTCTTCCGTACCTTGACCCTCCTTGTCTGCACAAAAATTTATTATTAAAAAAAAAAAAGTTATTAAAACTCAAGCCGGTTCTTGAAGCAAAAAATACTTCAAAATACCAAAAAAAAAAAAAAAAAAAAAAACCCCCCCAATAAAATTCAAAAAGAAAAAAAACCCCCCTTATTATATATAATTAATCGACACTAAAGAAAAAAAAATTGTTAAATATTTCTTAAAATCCAAAAAAAAAAAAAAAAATAATTTCAAAAAACAACATCCT